TGGGTCGATTATGGAAGTGATGAAATACTGCGTCAATCCGAGGGGGGGGGGGGGTCATGATACCATTGTAAAATTAAGTATAGCAATACTACACTGTCGCTCATATAGGTGGAATATTTTTGTTTTACCCCAATTTATGGAATTTAAAAAAAAATAATTTAAAAATAATAGATCTAGATAAAAGTATACATTCTCAGATTTTATTGAATAATAATTTGCAAATGTGTGTTTTTTGCCTGACTGCTAAAGCATTTGTATGCTTCTATGCTTATCAAATAGGGGACCTACGCCCTTAAGTCATACATGACAGTAATGAGGATTAATGCCCCACAAAAGGGCACTAATATAGCACATCGACACGGTTTTGATCCTGGGGCCTAACAAATACGAGGCCATTGCTTTGTCACTGAACCATGACTGTACGCAGCTGGGCCTAGGGTAGGGGGCAGTTTCCATAAATTAAAAAAAAACAGAAAATGCAATAATTTTTAATAATTTATTGCATTTTACCCCGGTCCCCAACATAAACAAATTCTTTGAATGGCCATGCATTATGGCTCAAGGCATGGGCACACAGAGGATTTTTTTTATGTTGGGGTCTACATTCATTTAAGTCAGATTCCTGAAAATAACTTGTACTTAGAACAAGTTAAACGGTACATTTTCGTCTTGTCAACGTATTTAACAAACCCTTAAAGATTATATGCTTGTAATAGATTGCACGGCATTTTAATCTGTAATGCAGGAATATGCATGGCTAATATGCTCAGAACATGTAAACATGACGCATTACTGCATACTAGCAGCATTTGTAAGATTAAAATTCGTTGATTTTACAATTTTTCGGTGAGACTCTTTGTTATGTGTATGAGGTTTGCTAAAAGCGATGCTAAAATAAATATATTAGTTGCGAGGTGTTGTAATCTAGCGCTCTCACGATATGTTAATAAATGCATAATACTAAGTTTGTGCGACGCTAGGTTTGTTGATTTGTGTTGTTGTTGCTCTGACATAATTATGTTGTCATTGTAAGAGCACATTTTGTGTGTGTGTGTGTGTGTCTCAAAATTTGAAAATTTGACCGATCGATATTTCGTTTCGTTGGAGGGTGGGAGGGGGGGGGAGGTCAGCTTTTTGGGTCATCCATTACCAATGTTGTTTTATTTTTAAGAAAAGGGGGGGGGGTTCTCCAAAACACGCACGCAAAAAGGTTCAAGAGGGGTTCAACCCCCCCCCCCCCCCCTGCGTACGCGCCTGCATTGTACTACCGTTTATTATTGTAATATATTATTGTAATATGCTTTGTATTGTATTATTCTATTATTGAAAATTATGTCTTGAAGTATGTTAAACTTATGTGTATTTTACTGTCTTTCTTGAATTACTTGATGGTCGTATGCCCACAATTATACAATTTCCACACAACTGCGCCAGGAGTGTCATTTTTGACAGACATGGCGCATTATAAATGTTCACTACTATTATTATTGCTGCATGAGATTATATCTTGTTTGTTATTTTCTCTGTTGTTTATTTTTGGTATGCGGTATATAATTTTAAAAAAATAAGCAAACATGCAATACCATTGGAATAAGTTACACAGTTTTGATATTTATCAGGAAACAATTCATATTGCACAGTCATGAAAAAAGGTGTAGCATTGAGTATAAACGTATGACGTCATAATGTCTAAGTTGTCAAGGTTGCTGGTTCCAATCAATGTTGTGCTTAACAATGGTGTCACCGTGTGCTGATCACGCCGGCGTCAAGCACTGCCCTGCTCCGGTGCGTTGCTTGAATGATTTTACAGTGAACCTCATATACGCATGCTTTGTTGTTAAGAACTAGTACCCTGGATTACGAGTAAATATGACATTAGCACTTCGGTACTATATGCTGAGTACTATTGAAAGCCTGAGAAATGTATAGACAGTTCGCTAGAACATGGGGGTGTTTCACAAAGATTCTAAGTTGAACTTAACTCTAAGTTGGACTTAAAAATTATGGACAGCCATTTGTAGCCTTAAAATGAAATATATTCAAAAGCAAAAATTCCAAGTATTTAAGATTTTACTTGAATTCCACATCAAGAACATGAAATCTCCCTGTTAATAGAGAATATGAATGATTTGAATCAACATTTTATGCCTTTTAAAATAACTTTTACAAAATATTTTCATAGATGCTAATGGCTTTCCATAATTTTTAAGTCCAACTTAGAGATAAGTTCGACTTGGGATCTTTGTGAAACACCCCCCATGACTATTATATGAAATATGAAAAGGAATTTTCATTCGATAAAAAGGAATATAAAAGGGAATGTAGTTAACCGACATTTTCGTGGATAAATATTTGTTATGAAAACAATTACAACACGTATTCACAAATATGCTTTGCCAGTCCATTGGGGATATTCGATGAGAAATTAATCATGCACTTTCGCTCAGTGGGGGGGGGGGGGGGGGGTTGTAAGCAATGATTGTTTTTGTTAAGACCCCATGCAGAAATGGGAAAATCGCATCGACCGATATTACGCTCAAACTTTAGATTATTATTAATGATTCAACTAATCTGCTACTTCTGTTCCATAGCGAAGCGCTTGTATGAGCAAATGTTTTCTCTACTCACTTTGTCTTCAGCATTAAAGAACAAGTGATCCAAAGTTTTTAGAGTAGAACATTAATCCTTCTACCCCCGATATAATGTTGAAACAAAGTCATGTGACCGATATATAACTCTGAAGAACTTTGTTCAACTACAACTGCATCGTATAGTTCTTCGTAGCGAAATTTGTAAACAAATTGGGGGGATTGATAATCATGCTTCCCCCCTAACACTTCTATTGACATCACAAGGAATGTGAATGCATTCATCTTATGTTTGACTGCTATGATTCATATTCATATTGATCTTTTCACAAGGAGCAACACAGAACATCTTTTGTCAATGCTCATTCATTGTGTTTTGGGGGACATTACTTTTTTTCTCTACTTGCAATAATCATGCACTGTACGCATGCTTGTGTGAAGCGTGTCAATAGATGTGTAAGCCAACCTGTTTCACGTGGGATGGCATACAACTAGACGCCATCTTGAGTCGTACCTAACACACATACTACAAGAGGTTGGATAAATGGTTCTCCTTCAGACAAAATGTCAATTATGAAAGGAGCATTCATGTGGTCAACTTTCTTTCTGACTTTACGTTTTGAAGAGTAAAATCGCAAGAAACCGGTAAATAAGGTAAGTTGTACATGCTATGTAGATCATTTTGTTGTGAACAAGGTTAGTTTCATACAAGGAAGTGGATGAAAAAAATATTTCAATTCTTAAAAATGCAATAAAAGGAGAAACAGGTGTATGCATGTAAGATGGGATATGTTTGCCTTATCTGAAAAGTGTCGTGTTCGAGTGGATACGTCGCTGGACTGTCGATCACAAGGTGCGCGGTTCGACTCCCGCCGCGGTACTATCCTTTGGTAAGACATTGATCTACATTTTCCACACACAACCCAGGTGTGAATGGGTATCCGGCAGGAATTAATTCCTTGAAATACTAGAGCGCCGCAGTGCATGGCCGCCTTGCTAAAGCCCAGGTAATAATCGGGGCAGCGTCACAACGTGACGGGCTTGTGCGCTATATAAGAAGCCACCATCATTATCAAGAAGAAAATTGAGAAAACAAAATCATATATCCACTCATGTTTTCAGATAGATTAAGGCCTACAACATAAGAAGAAATGTGAAGTATATCTTATAGCCTAAGCCATAACAAACTTTTTTTTCTACTCGTTAGCTTTACTACTCTAAAAATTGATAAATCAGGATGATTCCCGGCAACAAGATGACTGCATATTGTTTTTTTCGCTTGCTCACAATATTTGGGATCCAGAGAGTATATTTTCGGGCAAGAGGCCCTTATGAACTTCATACGAAAGAGTGCCCATACTTTTACGTATAAGAGTGATGAAAAATGAATCCTCTTATAAATTAAAAAAGTTGAAAAATGTTGATCTAATTTACTTAAGACTGGAGCCCTTCATCCCCCCCCCCCCCCCAACAAAAAAAAATTTAAAAAAAACCTCACTTTGCCACTTGGTTTAACAGCACGAATTGAGGGCTTAGTCCTTTCAAATCCGAAATTATTTCATATTGATAAAGACCTTTTCCGTGCAGCTATAGAGCACCTCATCATGCTCCACATGTCTCGACATTTAATAATATCACTTTTAAAAAAGACAGCTATGAAAGCGTGCATATTGTCCTAGACCTAGGTTAAAAAAAACAAGGTAAACCCGTCAATTTTACTTTAAATCATTAATTTTGTCAATTGTAACAATTTATACAAATCACATTACTAAATTATGTAAACCCATTTTGTCTAATCACTAGAAAGCATGTAAAAAGAACAAATGTTTGGGGCAATTCATGTATACTATACATTACGAACACTTGCACTGAAAGAAACTATCAATGTAAAATAAGTATTATTTGCTCTCAGTGCATTATTTGTTTGATATACGAAGGTCGTTTATTTTTGTTGCACTAGGCATCCCCATTGTTCAAAAACATGTAACTGGTTGATTAAATAAATGATAAAAACAATATATGACCTTTGTTTATCAATTTCAAAGCAAGTAACCGGAGGAAAGACATTACTCTTCATTAATATTATTTCTGTTAATGTGCACGAGGAAATATTACTAATGGAGGTCGTTGTATTACATTTGTTCTATTCCCTTCCTCCCTTTCTTTCAATACCGTCTTTCAATCCTATTCTTCTTCACCTTTTCTTCACCCTCTTCAAGTTTTCTTCTCTCATACATCCCTCCTGACCTCCCTTTCTTATCTTAACCATTCCTTTCCTCCTCTCTCCCTTCCTTCCCTTCCTTCCATCCAACCTCCTAATTCTCTCCCTCCCTCTCTCTCTCTCCTGCTGTCTCTTTCCCTCTCTTTCTCTCTTGAGAATAGTTCTTTCTACAGGTCAATACTGTGATCAGGATGGCGGCAAACTTCAGCTCTGCAGAAAACATCTGTGAAGGAGAGAACTGTCAATCAATCACAGATGTGACATACTACGTGAAGGAGAGGAAAAAGCTCTGCGATGACTGCGCCTCTATAAAGGAATGCATCGGAAAAGCAAAAAAGGGTAGGCCCAATCTTTATTGTGAGAAGCATGATGGTGAAGAAATCAAACTGTACTGTAAAACACATGGTGAAGGAGTGTGTCAATTATGCGCAATGATAGATCACCAGTCTTGCGGGCGACAGGATATAAAGGGCGCGATCGAGGATAGTAGAGCAGAACTTAACATTCTGAAACGAACGGCAAATAACAAATTGAAGCTTTGTCGAGTTTATGGAGATCAGATTCATCAGTGCAGGAAAGACACCGACACCCATCTACAAGCTTTGAAAGATGAAGTAGATTCGGTAATCAATGAGGCGATCCAAACAGACAAAGACAAAGAGAAAGAGGATGCTGCCAAAATCAACTATGAGATTGATGAGAAGAATCAAAAACTTCACGAGGATATTCAGAAGATCAATGAACAGATTCGAAAGAACGACGGAGAGAAAGAAAAACGACTTGAATTGAACCGTACAAATGCAGAGATAAGACGAAAACCAATCGACAATATACAACATTGTCTTCAAATGGACATTAAGAAAATCGCTGAAGAAAAGGATTTTAAGATTGGTGAGTTGGAGAACGCATGGCAAGATGACACAAGAACCACAGAGGATACAGTACAGATACTTGATACGGTACTCGAACATGATCAAAATGTCGTCAAAGACGGGCATCGTGTCAAGACATCAGTGAGTGACGAACTAAAGAAGCCACTACATGAGGGTGATGCGAAACAAATAACTGGGGCCATATCGGTTGTGAGGTTTGTGAAGGGTGCTGGGAAAGAGAAGTATGATGGAAGGATGTATGGATATGATGGGGAGTGGAAGCTCTTTGATACAATCAATGTCAAAGATAAAATTACATATCCAACCATTATAGGATGCATAAATGAAGGCAATGTGATCATCACAGATAGAGTATTAGGTAGCGTACATACATACATGTTAGATATGAACACTAAAGACAGTAAGAGAGTGATAACCGGTAGTGGAGCATCATGGGTCAGTATCTCCTGTGCATTGCTGAATGACGACAAGGTAGTATGCGGTAAATGCAGCAGGGGCCGGTTAGGGCATGATTTGGCTGGATACATCAGCGTGTATGACAGACAATGGAAGCACATCAATGACGTCACGATACCAAAAAACACAACGTGTGATGACACAGGTGTGGATGTAGCTGTTGACCAAGATGGGATGATCATCGCCGCTGAGTGGGATCAGTCTAATATATTCATCATCAACCCAGCTGATGGTAAGATCATGAACGTCATCACATGTAAGGATAATATAAGTGTGCATGGTGTATTATCATCAGGTCATATCGTCGCTCTACCATATCCACCAGATTACAGAGTGTTCATTATCGACAGACAGGGTGCTCAAAAGGAAATCCTCCACAGTGGTTTCATCCTGAATACCTGCATCGATCCCATGACAGACGACCTCTACGTCGTGACATCAGATCATGAGTACAAGACGTGTGTGATTGATCAGGTGATGAGTGGGGGTGACATGAAGAAGAGAAGAGTAGCATCATTCCCTCTATCGACAGAACTAGACTCACTGGAGGAAAGGGAGGGTCACTTTATATCATCTCGGGTGTTGATGACGTCATCAGGGAAACTTATTGTTAGCGATGGAGACAACATTCTCGTATTCAAAAACAGATTTACCTTCTAAATCAAATCCTCGTTGATTACATTTTCATGTTTACTACGTTTACACATGTACGTACAAAACAATATACTATGGCTAGCATTCCAATTATTACATGTAGATCTACAATGTATCTATATTGTATCTCCAATGTATCATGCAATAATATGCATAGCAAATATACTCAGAATATATAAACATAGTACATTATATTATTTACTATATGCATTATGTCATGTTATTACAAAAAGAAAGAAGAGTGTTTCTGCTGGATATAATTTTTCTTCTGTTTTGCTATAAACACTGCATTGTAAATTGATTTATATGATACAATTATATGTTAAAAAACAGAATATTGATTTATTACATTACATTGTAAATTGATTTATATGATATATTTGTTTCCAAACAGAATATTGATTTATTATACATTGTTAAGTGATTTATTTGTTTATAAACAGAATATTGATGTACATCAATGAAATTTAATATATATAATACAATACATGCAGCTGCATAATACCCAGTATTTGTAAGATAAAAATTTGTTGATTTTGTAATCTTTCTATGAGACTAATTGTTATGCATCATGTAGTTTAATACAAGCGATGGTACAGTATTGCACAGTTTGCTCATCTGACGCACAACTTGACTTGAAAATAACTGCATGATACTAAGTTTCTGCAACGTTTGATTTGTTGACTTGGTTTTGATAAAGCATATGTTTATATTACGTATTCAACAAGTCCATTTGACCGAATAACTAATACAAACAACGTATAAATAGGTTGTAAAGTCACGTTATCTATTATAGTAATAATGACTGCTTTGAGAGACATAGTTGTTTTTATACGCTCAAGGTTACGATCATGCTATTTCCCGAGGCATGCCGAGGGCAATAGCACGAAAATTAAAGCAGTCATTATTACTTTTATATACTGAAAAAGGAGTCAACTAATATGACACCACCTTGGCTTTTCTCTAGTTTATCTGCACGGTTGATTTTTATAAGTGTATCTTTGAAAGTTAGACTAGTCTAGATATAGCTTCTAGGAATCTATGTAGCATTTCCCCCTAGGCCTAATTCCTCACAGATTTCGAAGTTGTTGAGTGTCATAACGTCAATGAATACCTTGTTCTGAAGACCTAAAGGATCATCCAAATCAAGCGAACCTTGGATTTTGTCCATGTCTTCTGCTGAGAAAGCTGGTTTGTGAGTCACAACTCCCTTTCTTTCTTGTTTAAGCATTGCTGAAAAACATTTAAAATCTCTCGTCGAATTGGAAAAATCTTCATGATTCATTTATGATGTCGACATTGTTAGAATTGAGGAAATGACGCTGAAGTCCGAATCTAATAGTTAACATTGGCCTAGGCCTAGATCTACGTTGTCCAGCTCGGAATTCGGAAGTTTGTTTACGCTATCGAGGTATTTGCTGATAACTTGCTAGTAGCCTAGCCTAGCTAGATCTAGACCTAAGTAATCTTCGAATATTTTTTTGGAGAATTTCACGTACCCTTTTGGTGTTTTTGTTGTAAGCAGAAATAATCAAGTCTTGCGATTGATCATCATCAAGAAGTTGAAATCTAGGAAGAGTTTCTTCAGCCATTTTTGCCTAGTCTGGAAACTTTAAGTAGAATCTAGGCCGGATTTAGTAGTACGATCGACATCGCCGGTCCTCTTATTAAAAAATCTAAATATTAATGTATGGTATCCGCGCTCGCTCAAACCAGATTTTAATACGTGAACCAATGGGTATTTCAGCAAGATTGAACTATTTTCCCGATAACTGGAATTTTGCCTGGATTTTACTCTAGAACTATTACATAGGTTTGGCATTTTTCGTTTATTTACGGGAATGGCTAAAATCACGACTGCACTTTCGACCAATCAGATGGCTGGATTTCTTAAGTGAGGTATAAAATACAAATTACAAAATTCTAACAGATTCAACACTGTCTATTGATGTCATCATTCGCTCGTTGTGATTTTTTTTCCTGAGAAAAATGCTATAATATTGAAATAAGTCTTGTTATCTAACAAACTTACAAAATGTTAATAGCAGTATATTGCTGAGTTTGTCTAAGATTCAATTTGTTGGTTTATCATTATGCTTTGAGACATTTAAAATATTCATGTACACACAAAGTTGATTTGATAGAATGAATAATATTACAATTATATATATGGCAATTTTTCATCATCTATCAAGAAAGTATTTATATTACAAGTATGCTCATGATATGTTAATAGCAGAAGATAACCAGTTTTTGTAAAATTAAACACTGTTGATTTCGTTATTATAATTAATTGTGATATGTTAATCTTTGATAGAACAGATACTGCGTATTAAGTATTCGTATGATTTAATTTGCTGTTTTTCATCTGGCTATATGACATGTTGATTTTTTTTTAAAGATACCAGTATATTTTATAGAACAAAATGTAGTTTGATTGAAGAGATGCTAAAATTATGAAAGAAGTTACACAGTTTTATTATCACACACACTCACAACCTGTACATAGCTGCATTGTACAAAGTATTTGTATTATACAATTTGTTGATTCTACGTTTTGGTATTTGACATGTTGATGTATATAATGAATAATATGATAATTAAGTATTTTTCGAAATCTATCTTTTAATTCACATTACGAGTATGCATAAACAAACATATCTATATAATATTCAGCAAAAGTCAGATTCAACACTGTTGATGTCATAAAGTTGCTATGGGAAATATGAATCTTTGACATGTAGTTTGATAGAACAGATAGTACAATCATATCATGCATGTAAGCTGCACAGGTTGTCATCGCTCACATTTACCACATGTAGATTATACTTATTACTTAAACATTTTAATTGTTGATTTTTATTTGGCTTTGAGACATGGTTATATTAACATTAAAAACAATGGTTTGTAATTAAAACAAGTATATTCATTGCATCAAATAAAACAACCGTGTTGCAAGGTCATGATGATGATGATGACGATTGTGATGATGATGGCTTACAATGTATTGTATAGCGCCGGTATGCTATCAACATGTATCAAGAGATTATTCACATTCCAAGTTTGTTAAAGAAATGTACATAGCGGCATAACTCATAATATTTGTAAGAGTTTATATTTTGGGGTTGTTAATTAATTATATTCCACATACAAAGAATCTTGCGCTACGATTGATCAAAAGTAAATCACGTGATGATAGATAGTTCGCCCATCATTAATGGGAGAAGAAACGTTCGTTGCACTGTGTGGATAGTAGTGTAATATATATACAGGGCAACGCACTTTCTTGTATACGTTGCGCATACGTAGGCCTACGTATAAACGCATACTGCATGCACTGTACGTATCGTACACCTTTTGATAGGTGTTAATTGATGATTCGTTGCTCTAAAATGACGGAAGAAGTGAAATGTTTCCGAAGTGGAATATAAAGCAAATAATCACCTTTTGGTTTGAGGCGATGGCAAACTATCACTTCCTCGGCGATCTGAATGTATACGCTATTTTTCTTCGGAAAGATAGCTACATCCAGATTGCCTCGGACGTGATAGTTTGTCTCATTTCCTTCATCAACGGTAATTATTTGCTTATTATTATATGAGATATTTTAACCTTTGTTGTGTAGGTTGGTGGGAGAGATGCTATAACAATTAAATAAGTTGTAGTTGTTGTTTTGTCCATACCACTCACTCACAATATGTAGATCGCTTTTGTATGGTATCCCATTCCACATACTAACTACTCGCAATAACTAATCTCCTTTGCCAGTTAAAAAGTTATAGTTTTGTTGATGTTTTATGCAGTTTTTCGGGGGAGTGGTATTCTTAATTTATTCTATAGAATATGTGATATATTTTGTATTGTTGTATGAGTTTATCTCTTGCTTGTTTCTTTTTTTTTTTGGTTTGTGGAAGATAATTACATAGTTACATAGTTTTGCTATCTATCAGGAGACAATTCATATTACACAGTCATGGAAATAGCTGTAGCATAGGGTACCAAAGTATGACGTCATTCTGACTACGTTGTAAAGGTTGCTGGTTCCAAATAATGTTGTGCTAAAAATGACGTGGTGATCACACAAGCGTCAACCACTAAATTTGCCTTGTTCCAGTCCGTTGCTTGAATAAGTTCACGGTGAACCTCATGCGCAAGCTTTGTTGAGAAAAATTATTAACCTGGACGACGAGCGAATTCGACGTTAGTATTGTGATACTTTATACTGAATACTGTTGGAAACCATGTAGAAATCCATAAACAGTTTGCTAGATAATGATAAGGAAAAATCACTCTCAATCTTGCATATACCCCAAATGCAGTAAACTGACATTTTCATGTACAAATATTTTTGTGACCACAATAACAACACATTTTTACATGTTTGCATTGCCAGGTCATTGTGGGGATGTTTGACAAGACATTAATCAGTTTGACATTACCAGATTGAGAAGTTATCAGTACATTTTCCATAATCTATTAAAAATGGCTTTATGCCTGAAGCAATTCGTACAATCTAAATTGTTGTCATTGTAGCTTTTAATTATAGAAATTTCAATATTTGAGGTAATTGGAAGAAACTATGAGATTTAAAGAAGTTTGAAATTATGGGTTTGTTACGATATTTTTAGATGGGGTGGGGGTATTGGCAGTGAAAGTGAAAGCTGTGTAAAGTCATATGTGAGGAAACCAGCTCACCTTTGGAGTTAGTCACTATTATAAATGGCGACATCGATATGCAATGGGTATTTTAATGGTATTGTAGATTTTGCATATCATTTTTAAATTGGAGAAACGGAATAGGGCACTCTTTGTTATATAACTTTTAATAACCAATGATAAGTTTCTTTTGAAGAATTTGTTTTCAGCCAATCAAATGCTACAATTTCAGTAGATTATAACAATTCGTGTAACTCGTTATTGATTACGAGTCTTATGAAACAGGGCCTCTATTTTCAATGGTTAATAATCAAATACCAGCTTTACCCTGTTGGAATTAAAGCCATACT